CGCGATATCTTTCTCCTCTATCCTTCATCTCTCTCTCATCCTCTCTCTATTTCTCTCTTCTCTCTCTCTCTCTCTATCTATCTTCTATTCTCATCTCTGCTCTCTCTCTGCTTTCTACGATCTCTTCCTCTCTGTCTCCCTCCTCTCTCGCTCATCTCTCTTCTCTCTCCTCTCATTCTAGTTTTTCTCTATCTTCTCTCTCTCGCTCTCTCTTCATCTATCTATCTCTCTCTCTCTATTACTTTCTCTTCTATCTCTCTATGTCTTCTCTATATTCTCTTCTATATATACTCTCTCTCTCTTTGTCTCTACTCTCTCCTCCTCTCTCATCTATCTTTCTCTTCTCTCTCTCTCTCTATCCTCTCTCCCCTCCCTATCGTCTATCTCTTTGTATTTCTTTTCCTCTCTCTTCTCGTCCTCTCTCTCTCTCGTCCTTCTCTTCTCCTGTACTTCTATCTATATTCTCTCTTCCCTCTCTCTCGCCTTTCGTCTCTCTCTCTTCTTCTCTATCTTTCTCTCTATCTCTCCTCTCTCCCAGTCGCTCTCTCTCTCTCTTGCTTATCTCGTCTCTCTCTCTATCTACCTTTCCTCTCTATCTCTCTCTATCTCTTCTTCTATATTCTCCTATAGTATATATCTCTCTCTCCTTGTCTCTATCATCTCTCTCCTCTCTCTATCTATTCTTTCTCTCCTTCTCTTCTCTCTCTCTCTCCTATATCCTTCTCTCTCTCTATCGCTCTATCCTTTCTCTCTCTCCTCCTCTCTCTCTCTCGTCTCTCTCCTCTCTCTCATCTCTCTCTCTCTCATTCTCTCCTCGTCCTTCTCTCTCGTCCTCCTCGCTTGTATCAATTTTCTCTCTCTCTCTCTCTCTCGTTCTCTCTCCTCCCGGCGCTTTCTCTCTATCTGATCTCTCGTTCTCTCCGTCTTTCTCTTCTCTCTCTCTCTCTCTCTCTCTCTCCTATTCTTCTCTCTCACTCGTCTCGTCTCTCTCTTCTTTTCTATCTCCCTCACTCCTCTCTATCTCTATCTTCTGTTCTTATCTCTATCACTCTTCTCGTCTTCTCTCTCTCTCTCCTCCTCTCTTGCTCTCTCTCTCTCTCTTTCTCTCGCTGCTCTCTCTCTCTCTCGTTTTCTCTCTTTTCTCCGTGCCTATCTAATCTTTCCTCGTCTATCTCTGTCTATCTCTATCTCGTTCAGTCTCTCATCTATTATTTCTCTCTCGTCTCCTCCTCTATCTATCTCTTGTCTCTCCTCTCTATCCCTATCTATCTATATCTCTTCGTGCTCTGCCTCTCTCTCCCGCGTTTTCCTCTTTGTCGCTCATCTCAGTGTACGCGCTATCGCGTTGCTGCCTCATGTAACTGTGGATCCTGATAAGGTTGCTTTACCTTTGAGTATCGCTTGAACGTCACTGTGCTCGTGCTCCAATCGCGGGGTTGGTGCGCTGGCTGCCATTCGGTCAATAACTCGTGGTCGGTAGCAAACAATGAATAATTCATTAAACATAAATTAAATTTCGTAAATTATTCTTGCGTATAGACGCAAATGCGAATCAATCAAATTCGTCGATTACGATTTCTTCCTGACAGCCTTTACCAAACAGTGAATTGAATTGGTGTATTTGTTTGAGTGGTGGTACGCGAATCGAGCAATCGATGTCATATCCCGCCACGTTCTCCGCACACCTTCCTTCATAGCGTGATTCATATTTTTAACAGTCATGCATTCGTTTCTGCGAAACGAGTTCGCGCATTAGTGTGTGTTGTGTGTGCTGTGTGTATGTGTGTGTGTGTGTGTGTGTGTGTTGTGTGTGTTGTGTGTGTGTTGTGTGTCGTGTGTTGTCGTATGTGTGTGTGTCGTGTGTTGTTGTGTGTGTGTGTTGTGTGGTGTGTGTGTGTGCTGTGTATATATGTTTGTGTTCATATAATATTATTATTGTGTGTGTTGCATAGTGTGTGTGTGTGTGTGTGTGTGTGTGTGTGTGTGTGTGTGTGTGTGTGTGTGTGTGTGTGTATATGTTCATACAGCACGAAACAAAACGCATATTCGTCGGCCTGTGAAATTACGTAACGTTGTAATAACCTGAATGAATCAAAATTATGTGATATTGAGACGAGATGTTGCCGTTAGTAATATCTCTCTCTCCCTCACTAGAGCATATATATACTTTAAGCAGAATTCTACTCGTTGACTCTATATTTGATTATTAGATTGTTTCAGGTGATATTTTAAAAACCCGACGGATTCGTAATTCGCGGAATTTAGCAATGTATATCGCAAAATTACTGCGTAGAAATTTACTCAAACGTTTTCTTACACTAACATTCGCGAATTTGTACCACTCCCGCGCGAGTGTAGTCTAGCAATTAGACTGTGTGTATCGATAATATCGCTTATCTTACAAACATTGATCTATCGGGAATCATTCAAATTCGTCATTATTGTATGCGATGGGACACTTCCGCATGCAGGGAAGTCTAGGGGGAAACGTGCGCATGATTTCTGCCAGGCAAATTTTATGAATAGCAGAAATATTATGACACCGATTTATGTCGGAAATTTCGCAAGAAAAAATACCGCAACGAGAATTTACATTTAAATACAAAATACTATCAGCGCGGAGATAAAAAAAAAGACGAAATAATATATTCTTGCAAAGATGCAAAAGATGTAAAGATGCTAGTGGTCTATGCTCTATAGAGACCAATATCAGTTTCTGCACAATTTACTCCTTTTGCTTCCACGCTCGTGTCTGCCTTACAGAAATGAACTAAGCGAGCTGCATACGGCACACTTTCAACGCACTAAACTAGAAAATGGCATGAGGATGAAATATCTACTCCACTCACACGAACTGATTGGATGAACAGATATAAAATTCTAACGTTACCTTTTTGTATGACTCCTTTGTGCGGCCCATGCATGTACGCATTGTCTGAAACATCTAAGTGATGCTGAAAAAGGAGAAAAACGAGAGAAACGTTTTATTTAAACTCGCCGGTTTATCATTTTGCGTGAAAGGCTCGGCGAACAGTGAAAGGCGTCTTTATGCCGCCTCGCAGTCACGCTACGCGCGGTGAAACACACCGCAGCATTATCCCGTCCTGAAACCAAACACGCAGTTACGCCACAATGACCGCGCCGCCTCGCACACTATTAAACGCACATTGGGTTTTCTATTAGCCATTATACGATTAAAGTTAAGGCTTGCGCGCAGCCACATTCGGGCTGTGTTAACAAGACAATACGAGCGAGCGACGCGCGCAGATTCTACGGGAAATGCGACTTGAATGGGAATACTTAGAAGTCGTCGAGTATTTGATTTCTGTGCCTAATGAGGAAGTCAGCGTAATCCAGATGATGTGAGGGATGGCGTGGCATGGGGAGGGCAAGAGAGAAGGGATGGGGGAAAAATACTCGTATTTGCATTCAAGTTGACAGCACAATGGCACTTTAGCGGCACGTGTACGAACAGCGTTACAGCTAGCGCACGGGTTCTCCCCGCGTGCGCAGAGAAGGTCGAGAGGGAGGGGAAAGGGGAGGGGGAAGGGGTGGGAGAGAGGGATGGCGGATTGGGAGGGGAGTCCGCATGCACGCGTGCGCGCACGTGCCACGAGCGAAGCAAATCACGTCGTTAATTTGCCGATCGTCTTCCTGTTTCGCGACTGAATTACCGTCGCCGACTGAATCGCGCGACGGGGCGGCAGCCGACGTCGGCGCTCGGTCGTCATCGGGGCGTGACCGGAACCGGCGCTCTACGCGCGACCGGAAACGCATTGACGGCGAGCGATTACACGACGCGTGCGCGACGTTTCCTGGCGCGTGCACGCGTTCACGAGCGCTCTGCTCGAAGTACCGACTTCCGTCCGCGCATCGAGGAGCGGATCACGCGAGATCTCGCGTGATATCGCGATAGAACACACGAGACGAGATCACGTTATAGACCACAAGGTCGTGCCAGATCACGCGAGATCGCGCGAGTTTGTGCGGTACACCTTGTGGCGTTAGTTGACTAGTTATGGTTAGAGTTAGTTGACTAGATATGTTAGTTGGATAGACTAGTTAGCATCCCATGGCAGGGTTCGATGGCCGACCGCAGTGCGATGCGGTTGGCATTGAAGCCGTATAGAGTTACACGCGCACGCGTTAGAGACAAAGCTGACGACGACGACGACGACGACGGGAGGCGATGGCTCGCCTTACCTGCCGCCTCTCTCTCGCACACACGTCTTAACCGAGCGTCCAGTCTGATAAGTTGACACGCTACAGAAGAGCGCGGCGCGACAGCAGCCGAGTGAGGGAAAGAGAATGAGCGGGGGAGAGAGAGTATGAAGTAGTTAGGAAGAGAGAATTGGGGGAGGGGGTACAAAGAGAGAGAGAGAAAGAGAGAGAGAGAGAGAGAGAGAGAGAGAGAGAGAGAAGGAGAGAGAGAGAAAGAGAAAGCGAGGGAGAATGAGGATTTAGGAAGAGCGAAAGACTGAGAGAGATGGGGAGAGATAGATCTTTTCCTGCTGTTGCTGTGTGTGTGTGTGTGTGTGTGTGTGTGTGTGTGTTGTGGTGGTGTGTGTGTGTGTGCATGTGTGCTGTGCTGCATGAGGGCGGGTTTGCATTATGCTAACACGGCTGCAATTAAGGGAGTCGACGTAACATAATGTTGTGTGCACTCAATCCTCGGCCCGCTACGCACAAGTTGGGACGCGTTGTAGGATAAAAATAATACAAAGCTCTATAGGCCTTAAATACTCATATTATTTATTTATATCTATATAATATATTAATATATATTTATATATTATATATATATATATATAGTATTTAGGTCTTTATATACGTCCTGGTGGCCTCTAATTCTATTCCTAACGTGTCCCGTCTGGCTAGGCCTCTTTTATTGAGCATAGATTTCATAATTCTGCTATTGATAATTCCATATCACCCCCCCCCCCCCCCCCTACATACATAGATATATAAATCTTCTCCCGCGGCTACTGGAGGTCCCTCACATGTTCCCCAACATCCCAGCAAACCTCTAGGACTGACGTAGTTGTACACACAAAGACGTCCCGTCGTCGGCTACCTGCATGGGGGACGTCGGCTGCGGGTGTGCAGCCGACGTGGACGAGAACGAACGAATAGAGACAGCGTCGTCGGAGTTCCCGTCGCTCGTAAATAAAGTCACTCGGCTAATTTCGTTAACATCTTCAGAAAGAGTGCGGATCGATGTCGCACGGTGTAAGACACCGGAGCCGCCCGGCAGCCGCACGGCAGTGTCCGCGCTGCGTAGCGGCGGCCCGCTACGCGGCGCGCAAGCCGAAAAGCTAATTAAATATAAATAAGGCCATCGGGTGTAATTTCAGAGGGGAGCGCGGAGCGGGGCCGAAATAACAAGGTTTAGTTCAGTCTCATTATGTTAATTACAAAGCTAGGTAGCGCGGAGCTGATTGCCCGAAATTTCTGCGGCGCGAGGCTGCAATCAGTGAGAGGATAAAGTGTGGGTCACGTTGAATTCATCAGATGGCTATTATGGTAGTCTGCGCAGTGCACAGGTAAATATAGGTCACTAATGAGCGATAGGTACGCTTGCTTAAATGCAGCCAGCCGTCCACACCACGATCATACATAAATGGTCCCGATATATAGGACACATCTACTATTAATTACATTTATTTATTTATTTATTTATTCATTTATTCATTCATTTATTCATTCATTCGTTTATTTAACGGTAACTGCATCGTACGTATATGTTGTAAATTTTATTAAGAGCGAATAACCTGCTATTTAGTATAACTAGTTTCTGTGCCCTTGATTACATATATAATTGGATCTACTGTACACGTGCCCATGCAATGTTCTAACACATGCAGATGTACGTGAACACCTACGAGGAACGATTGATGTGCTATTTCTTTGATCGTGCGCGCGCGCCTGATCAGAACCTATGCGTCTCAGACCGCTGCCAGCTTCGCCGCAGCCACGCCCCGCCTCCTCCTCCTCCCTCGCAGCCTCCGCGACGTTGTTTATTATTGCTCTGTCTATTAGCACACGAATGATCCGGCGTGCATGCGCTCCGTCCGCTCCGACATATCGCGAATGCCGCCGCCGCCGCCGCCGCCGCTGCCGCCGCCATACAGAGAGATGAAGAGTGTTTGTTTACTCTGCTGATGTCAGACAGATGAAGCAAACGAGGGAGTGAGAGAGAAGGGGGAGAGTGGGAGGGGAAAAGAGAAGGAAAGAAGGTGAGAGTGAGAGAGAAGGAGGGAGGGGAGGTGGGGGAGAGAGGAGGAGAGAAGGAGAGAGTAAGAGAGAAGGGGGAAAGGGAGGGGAGGGGAAAGAGGAGGAAAGATGGGGAGAGTGAGAGAGAAGTGGGCGGGGAGGGGAAAGAGGAGGAAAGAAGGTGAGAGGGAGAGAAATGTTGAGGAAGCGTGGAGATAAGCGAGGAGGTGGGGTGAGTGAGAGTGTGGATGCGTGCGGGGGAGTGAGGGTGAGAGAGAGAGAGATAGTGTAAGCGAGAAAAATGTGAGAAGTAAACGGGTAAGAGCAAGTGAGCGAGAGACGGGTGATGGGGGAGGGGAAGGGGGAAAGAAAGAGGAGAGGTTGCAAGGTAATGGTGAGGAAGTGTGAGAGAGAGAGTATCATGATGGGTAGGAAGAGGATGGTAGCAGGAGAGGAAGAGAGAGAAAGAGAGAGAGAGAGAGAGACAGAGAGACAGAGAGAAAGAGAGAGAGAGAGAGAGAGAGAGAGTTAGTAGTAGTAGTAGTAGTAGTAGTAGTAGTAGTAGTAGTAGTAGTAGTAGTAGTAGTAGTAGTAGTAGTAAAAGAAGAATAAGAATCAGCAGCAGCAGCAACAGCAGTTAATATCGCCGCACAAATGAGTTGGTCGTCGCGGGCGTAATGTGTGTAGTTAATACATCAGCCTTTTAAGCTTTAATTAAATCCAATAATCCGCAGTACATCAAAGAACCGGCGCGCGTCTAATTTGTGAGGATGTGCCTCTAACATTTCGTCTTCCCACATACATAATTAAAGGGATTAATGAAGTGGTGATAATTTAGATTTGACTCGCAGGAACTTGGATGACGCACACACACGCGCGCGCGCACACACACACACACAAGAGCACACACGCGCGCGCACACACACACACACACAAGAGCACACACGCGCGCGCGCGCACGCACACACGCACGCACACACTTGTGCCGTATAGCATGTCACTGCATTCTAACCGCGTGCGTGAGTCCCACAACCCATATGTGCCAACGTGAGTCTGACGACTGAAATATGTGCATTGAAACCTGTGTATTTAACCATGCACTGAAACCACTATAGAACGGTATATTGTCTACAAAGCACGCAATTAGCTTTTCGCTTGAGTGACAGTTATGGAGCGAATTAAACTACCTCTATAGAACAGGAACCAGATTATGATGAACACTAGGCCTACAAACACTTCCTTTGAGTGACCAATATGTTAAAGGAATCCTTTACTCTAGGTTCTAGGATTATTTTCAGTTAATTTAGGTTAAAATTATGCTACATAAAAAGTTTCATGGTTCAATCACTATTAGAAATTTTTTTTTTATGTTTTAAAACTAACGACTGCAGTTTCGTTACAACGACGGTGGCGCCACTCAAAGCGCACGATCTGAAAAGTTGCGCAAAACGACTTTTCAGCCAAGAGCTACAGACCGAGGGTGTTTCTTATTTATTAATTTAAAAGCAAAAGGATTGTAATATCTTATAAACGATATATAGTTTCAGTTATATTATGGATAAATTTGTCCTAAAATGAACATCGTTTGATTAAATAGCATTTACGTATAAATATAATGCACTTTTGTGATTAGCCCTCGGTCTGTAACGAGTAAAATAAATGGTCAAATGAGCAATTTTTTTTAGGGTGGCAGCACGGTCGCGGGTGTCAATGGCGCCGTTCAAATTTCGTAGCGTT